TCGCTCTGCCGCCCAGGCTGGAGTGCAGTGGCCGGATCTCAGCTCACTGCAAGCTCCGCCTCCCGGGTTCACACCATTCTCCTGCCTCAGCCTCCGGAGTAGCTGGGACTACAGGCGCCCGCCACCTCGCCCGGCTAAGTTTTTTATGTATTTTTAGTAGAGACGGGGTTTCACCGTGTTCGCCAGGATGGTCTCGATCTCCTACCTTGTGATCCACCCGTCTTGGCCTCCCAAAGTGCTGGGATTACAGGCTTGAGCCACCGCGCCCGGCCATATTGTTTTTTATCATTATTATTAGAGGAAGTTTCATAAAGTGAATGAATACATGGGCTTTCGTAGCCAATCCTAGAGGATGGGAGTCCCTCCCTGCCTTCTAGCTTGTACTTGCCCCATTGGGAGCCTCAGTTTTCTCATCTGTAAAAGGGAAATAATGCCTGCTTCTGGGGCATAAGAAGGATGAGATGCAAATAAAACGTTTAGCTCAGGCTCTGCATGTAGGGAGTGGTCAGGTACAGGGGCCATGGTGATGATGATGATGGCGGGGGGGACAGGGACTGTCTCCTGTCTTGTCTGGTGACATCCCCTTCCGAACAGAGACTTGGAGCCTGCAGGAGTTTCAGCAACTGTTTGTTGATGCTGCAAGATCTCTGTGCCCCTGGCGTGTTTGTCTGTCTGTCCTTCAGGGTGCCTTGCCCTCTGTGCTCCGTGGCCCTGTTCGTGATCATCGGTCTCCTGTCCACCCACGTGGATGTCCTGTCACGTCCGTGGGGGGCTCGGAGCGACTGAGCTGTGGGGGCCGGGGACTGGGAGCGGGAGCTGAGGGAGGGAGGGAAGGAGGGAGGCAGGGAGGCAGCGCTTGCCTGGCCCTCGTGATCCCCCCTCCTCGTCTCTTACCGAGGACCCTCAGCGCAGCCACTTCTCCAGGCACTCGGCAGAGAGAACGCGCGTAGGCGTTGCCCTGGCAACGCCGCGATGCCCAGCAACAAGTCCGCGGCGTGTGTCATGTGCTCGGCGCGGACCAATCCGAGGGCCCGCCGGGAAGCAGGTCAGCCTGGGCCAAAGTCCGCCTCCTCCCTCCCGGCGAGAGGCTCCCAGCTAATTACCGTAATTGCAGTGGGAGAGCTGCCGGGTGCGCGGAGGCTGGGACTGGGGGCTGGGCAGACCCTGAGGAACTGAGCGGGGAGGGCTGGAAAACAGGACTCTCTCCTCCAACAGCCTTGCCGCTGCCTCCAACGCCACCATCGAAGCGCTCATTAGGCGCCTACTGTGTGCACCTGCTGTTGGAGGGGGTGGGGTTGGAGTGTTTCCAGTGGAGTGGGGAACCCTAGCCTCCAGCCTGGGTAAACCTAGATTTGGGGGCTCGGGGAACAGATTTGACTCTTAAGACTCGGGGTCTCATAGAAACTGTCCAATCGCCATTGGCTGTATTGAACCAACCCCTCCCTCCCCCATCCCGATGGGTCATGGTTTCCTGCTGCACAAAAATACAAAAAGTTTAACTCTTGAAGGGAGTGTATTAAAATATTTGTCTCTGGGGGGACAGAGTTCACATCCCGTCTCTGCCATTTACTGCTGTGTGACTCCAGGTGAGTCCCTTAACCTCTCTGAGCCCTCCACTCCTCATCAGTTAAAAAACCAAATAGCACCGGGCACACTGGCTCACGCCTGTAATCTCAGCACTTTGGGAGGCCGAGGCGGGCAGATCACCTGAGGTCGGGAGTTGGAGACCAGCCTGGCCAACATGGTGAAACCCCATCTCTACTAAAAGTATAAAAATTCCCCGGGCCCGGTGGCAGGCACCTGTCGTCCCAGCTACTCGGGAGGCTGAGGTAGGAGAATCGCTTGAACCTGGGAGGTGGAGGCTGCAGTGAGCTGTGATGGGGTCATTGTGCTCCAGCCTGGGTGACAGAGCCAGACTCCCTCTTGTATTATTGAGAGAATGTGTGTGAAGTGTACAGCAAGTATTTAATAAACAGCAGCTAATGATCACCGTGGTCCCAGCTCTCAGTTAGGAGCTGTGAGGCCTTCCAAGTGTCATTGAATGGCACTGAGCCCCCATCGTTTCCATAGATAAGGTGAAGGAGTGGGAGAAGTGGCTTCGTGTCAGATTCCCTGCCACTGTACTTTGTTTCTTACACAATGTTCTCTGGGTTGTTTTTGTTTCTAATTATTAATAGTTCAAGGCCAGGTACAGTGACTCTCACCTGTAATCCCAGCACTTTGGGAGACCTGACGGAGGCAGGAGGATCTCTTGAGGTCAGGAGTTCAACACCACCCTGGGTTTCAGAGTGAGACCATGTCTCTAAAAAAAACCAGAAATTTTAAAAAAAGAAAGAAAATTAGCTCAAAGTGGGGGCCTTCATGTGAAGGCATTTAAATTTCTGATTCCTGGACTACCTTATTTTTATTTATTTATTTATTTATTTTGAGACGGAGTTTTGTTCTTATTGCCCAGGCTGGGGTGCAATGGTGAGATCTCAGCTCAATGCAACCTCTGCCTCCCAGGTTCAAGCGATTCCCCTGACTCAACCTCCTGAGTAGCTTGGATTACAGGCACGTGCCACCTGTATTTTGTATTTTTAGTAGAGACAGGGTTTCACCATGTTGGCCAGGCTGGTCTCAAACTCCTGACCTCAGGTGATCCTCCCGCCTTGGCCTCTCAAAGTGCTGAGATTACAGGCTTGAGCCACCGCACCCGGCCTAGCTGATCTCTTAACCCCTTTCCAGTTCTTTGCTTTGTTTTTTCTTTTGTCAACAAACGTTAATTGAGCACCTAGTGTGTACCAGGCTCTACTGTGCATCTGAGTCCTCAGTCTCGCTGTGCTGAAATCAGGGTCCAGCTGAGCCGGGCTGCAGGGCAGCTTCGAGGAATAAATGAGATCCTTCAGTCATTCAATGAATTTCAGGCATTGGGAAATACAGTGCCAATAGTGGTGACTATGGCGTTGACCGCAGGAAGTGGCCCAGGACCTCAGGGGACAGTAGGGCGCATCTGGTCATCGTTCAGTTTCGCCGGTGCTGGTTTCCTCCTCCAGGTCTTTCTTCCCGCTCGCTGCTCCATCTTTCCCAGAAGACTTGCCCTGACTTTCCTCTCCTCACCTGCTCCAGGAACAGCAGGAGCAAAGAAACAAATGGCAGAGCCTCTGAGGGGCTCCCCTGGGTGTACCCCCCTCCACCACCATGGCTGCCAGGAACTGCCTTCCTATCTGCTCCCCTCTTAGGAGGGCGGTCACCAGAAGGCAGTTGCAGAGGAGGACTGTACTTGGAAGTTGTTTTTGTTGTTGTAGTTGTTGTTGTTTTTGAGACAGGGTCTTGCTTGTTGCCCCGTCTGGGATGCAGTGGCACGATAATAGCTGACTGCAGCCTCGACCTCCTGAGCTCAAGCCATGCTCCTGCCTCAGCCTCCAGGGTAGCTCGGACCACAGGCGCATGCCACTATGCCCAGCTAATTTTTGCATTTTTTTGTAGAGGCAGGGTCTCGCTATGTTGTTTAGGCTGGTCTCAAACTCCTGACCTCTAGTGATCCTCCAGTCTTGGCCTCCCAGATTGCTGAGATTACAGGTGTGATCCACCATGCCTGGCCCAGAAATTTGTTCATATGCATTTTTCAGGAGCCTCTGCAAACTAAGAAGGGAGAATACAGCTTTCATGCGAGGGCCTCCCAGGACTCAGGGCTGGAGAACAAACCAGGTCTGCAGAAACTTGGCTTGACTCTGCAGCCCAAGAGCCACCTTTTTGGAGGCTGGGGGTCTGGTCCCACTTCAGACAGGCACCAACCACAGAATCCAGCTGAAAGTGGGGACTCTGGTCTCAAAAGGCAGCTCTCTGCGTCTCTGCTGTGTGAACTTGGGCAAGTGTCTCAACTCTCCGCTTGCTTCTGCCCCTGGGAAATGGTGCGAATAAGCACCAAGCTTGGAAAGCTAATGTGAGGATGAGATGAAGAGAAGAGCCGGTTTTTAATAAATGGTAGCTGGCACCATCATTTACACAGACTGGGGACTGATTGGAAGGAAGCCGTGACGGCCACGGAACCAACAGAAAGCTAGAAAATCGCTTTTGAGAACAGGCAGATGCCAAGAGAAGAGCCATTGAGGGGAGCAGCAAGATGGCGGAGAAATACCAAGCCTAGCCCCAGACAGCCTCCGTCTTTCAGTATGACTACAGGCTAGCAATCCGACCTCTGTCTTCTTCCCTTTTCCCTATCTTTCAAACAGGAACAAAACAACAGGTCCTGGTTCCCTGGAGGATGAGGGTGTGAGTTGGAACAGATACCTTGGAAAGGTTTCAGAAGGTTCCAGAAGGTTCTGGAAGGTCCAGATCTGGAACTCATCATATCATTGACAAATACCTATTGGGAATCAGTATTTTCAGGACATTGTGCTTCACGTTAGGGCTGCCAGAAAGTATTAAGCCAAGAAAAGAAACATTAAAGAAGGGGATAGGAAAGCTGGATTCTAGTCCTGCCTGGGCCTCTGACGTGCTGCTAGAGCTCTCTGGGCCTCAAGGAATTGAAAAGTAGGGGGGCTCTATAATAGGAAGGCCACCCTTCAGAGCCCTTCTCTGCCCCCTGTTTGCTGGATGTCCCTGGGGAAAATGTCTCCACCTCTCTGGGACTCAGTTTCCACATCAGAACACTGAGATTCAGTGACTGTACTGCAGGGCAGCTTTAAGGAGTAACTTAGATCATTCAGTCACTCAGTGAATTTCAGGCATTGGGAAATACAGTGCCAATTAAAATGTACGACCTGGCTCTCTATGGTCTATAAAGCGCTTAGCACATAGTGAGTGACAGACAATGAGCACCAACATCGGGCCACCATCATCACCCGTAAAGTGCTTGGCACAAAATAGATGCTCAATAAACCCTAGTTCATAATACTGCAGTAGTTCCAGGACTGACATTGCAAGATTCTCTCCTCTCCCACTGCGTCCGAAGCATTAACGTGCCAGGAAGCAGGAACTGAGACCTTCATTAGGGATTCCCTGGGTGGCCTCAGGTGGGGAGGGTGACCTGCGTGTGGTCCTGTTTTCGTGCCCTGCCTCTTCTGGGTAAACGCCTCTGCTAATCTCCCCTTGCCCGGGCTGCGGGTCAGGTTTCGGGGCCCCAGGCAGATGTTGTCCAGAGTAGCCCTGTTTCCTTAATCCTCAGGGCTCCAGAAATTGTCCTTAGAAGAAAGAACAACAGACCCGCTGAGGTCACCATCTGTGCAGTCTTGATTTGTAAATGCTCATGAGGGTGGCAGAAAACAGGTCTCTATAGTAACGGCTGAGGAAGGGGCTGCCTGTGCTTGCATGTGTGCATGTGTCTGTGTGTGCACACGCACACACAGGGAGGAGGAATTGTCCAAGACCCTTATTCCTAGACTTTTCTTTTCTACCCTGATGAGCTATTAATTAATACTCATTGCTGCCTTGTTATTCCAGAGACAATTAGCTACTGTTCCTAACTGGAGTCGTGGGGACATTTTCTAAAGAGATTCGTTTGCCTCTGCCCACCCACACTTGTCTATCTCCTGGGACACAAGGAAATGTTACAGAACACAGAGACCCAGAGAGGAGAAAAACTGAACAAAGGGGTCTCTCCGGGAAGCTCAGATTCTCAGCGAATAGACAAGGGCAGAGCCTGAATGAGCAAGGACCCAGTGCATGGAAAGTTATTATAAAAACGTCAGCTATAGCTGGGCGCGGTGGCTCACGCCTGTAATCCCAACACTTTGGGAGGCCAAGGCAGGAGGATCACTTGAGGTCAGGAGTTCGAGACCAGCCTGGCCAATGTGGTGAAACCCCCTCTCTACTAAAATACAATCGCTCTGGAAGTTTGACGGTTTCTTATAAAGTTAAATATACACTTCCCATATGACCCAGCCATCGCACTCCTAGGTGTTACCCTAGAGATGTGAAAATTTATCACCCACATGAAAGCCTGCATGAAAATATTTATAGCAGCTTTATTCCTAATAATCTCCAAACACAGAAGATGTTCCAGAACCTAATGTCCTTGGACTGATGAATGGCTAAACAGGCCATAGTTCATCCACATGATGGAATACTACTTAATAATAAAAAGGAACTAACTCCGGGTTCACACAGTAGCATGAATGGATCTCCAGTGTGTTCTACTGAGGGAAGGAAGCCAGGCTGGGCACGGTAGCTTACGCCTGTAATCCCAGCAATTTGGGAGGCCAAGGTGGGCAGATTGCTTGAGGTCAGGTTGACCAGCCTGGCCAACATAGTGAAAACTCATCTCTACTAAAAATACAAAAATTAGCCGAGTGTGGTGGTGAGTGCCTGTAATTCCAGCTACTTGGGAGGCTGAGGCAGGAGAATCACTTGAAACCGGAAGGCGGAGGTTGCAGTGAGTTGAGATTGTGCCACTGCACTCCAGCGTGGGTGACAGAGTGAGATTCCAACTCAAAAATAAAATAAAATAAAATAAAACAAAACAAAATAGTAAGATAAAAAATAAAAATAAAAAGTAGCAAATGTGCATGTGGGCGGAGAATGTACACACTTATATATGCGTGTGCTTCTGGAAGGGCACAGGAAATGGAATGAACAATTGATAAGAGATTAAACCTTGGGGTTAACAGACTGGGGTCCCCATCCCAACTCCCACACCCTCTCCCTGTGGTCCTTCCGCAAGCCCCTTCCCCTCTCTAGCCATCTATAAAACGTGCATATCAGCCAGGCATGATAGCTCATGCCTGGAATTTCAGCACTTTGGGAGGCCAAGGTGGGAGGATCGCAGATCCCAGGAGTTCAAGACCAACCTGGGCAACATAGGGCGACCCTGTCTCTACAAATAATTTTTAAAATTAGCCTGGCATGGTGGTGCACACCTGTAGCCCCAGCTATTCAGGAGGCTGAAGTAGGAGGATTGCCTGAGCCAGGAGGCAGAGACTGCAGTGAGCCATGATTGTACTACTGAACTCCAGCCTGGGTCACAGAGTGAGACCTTGTCTCAAAAAAAAAAAAAAAAAAGAAAAAGAAGTCCATCTCGGCTCACTACAACCTCCTTCTCCCAGGTTCAAGCCATTCTTCTGCCTCAGCCTCCCAAGTAGCTGGGATTACAAGCATCTGCCACCACACCCAGCTAATTTTTTGTATTTTTAGTAGAGACGGGGTTTCACTATCTTGGCCAGGCTGGTCTTGAACTCCTGACCTCGTGATTTGCCCACCTCAGCCTCCCAAAGTGCTGGGATTACAGGCATGAGCCACCACACCCAGCCAAAAAGCCTGCCCCCCTCTCTCTCTCTCTCTCTCTCTCTCTCTCTCTCTCTCAGTGTGTATTTTGAGATGGAGTTTTGCTCTTGTTGCCCAGGCTGGAGTGCAATGGCACAATCTCAGCTCATTGCAACCTTCAACTCTTGGGTTCAAGTGATTCTCCTGCCTCAGCCTCCTGAGTAGCTGGGACTACAGGCATGCACCACCATGCCCAACTAATTTTTGTATTTTTAGTAGAGATGGGGTTTCAACATGTTGCCCAGTCTGGTCTCAAACTCCTGACCTCAGGTCATCCACTTGCCTGGGCCTCCCAAAGTGCTGGGATTACAGGCACCCTGCTAAAAAGAACTAACTTTCTTTCCTTCTTTCTTTCCTTCCTTCCTTCTTTTTTTTTTTTTTTTTTTTTT